CTATAAAGGATGGAAGGACAAGTTTTGTTATATTCGCATGGCGGAGAACCCCTTCGCTACCCCTCTTCGTGATAGCTTTCGGAGGCACCTAAAGGTGGGGAGTGCTTCTCTTGAGAAGAATGGAAGGAAGCTTGCCAAGAAGCCGGAGTGGTCTGATAAGCACGTGAAGATTAGAGATGTTACCCTCCCGGACGAACTATATGATCTGAAGTTCCGCCGGTACCGGTTGATGGGGGAGAAAGATGAGAGATACCCCCCAATAGATTGTGTTTATGAGAGTGCCAGAGGTGATTTCTGAAGTCCCCTCTTTTTGCACTTAGCGTTTTTCTTGATTTCCTTGTGTTTTGTAATTGTAGTATAAAACTTATATGTCTTCCTTTGTTTTTGCAGGGGAGGCTATGGATGTGAGATCTTTTGTCGGCCTGAAGAAGAAGTTGGCCAAGGAGCCAAAAAAGAAGGAGACGAGGACCCAAAACCCCGTCGATGAATTCTTTAAGAAGGATGGTGAGCCCTCCTCGGCAATTCCTGCTGATGTCGAGGCCGAAGGCTCCAAAGCCGTGGCTGTGAAGAGGAAGGCGGCGGGCAAGGCTGTAGCTCCCGCCAGAAAGAAGTTGGGAAAGGAAGATGCTGGGAAGAAGGCTACCCCCGTCGTGATTATGGAGGAGCACTCCTCATCTGAGCCCCCGGTCGTGGCAGTGACGACCCCTTCCAAGCCCTCCGCGGAACAGATGGGCGAGGGGCTTTACCCCGGGAGAATGTGCAGTTCTCTATTATAAAGGTCGGGGATTGTCATCATGCATGGCATTGTGGACCCGAAGGAATTCCTGAAGAGTGACACCCCTCAGCTGGACAGGGCAGCCCTCAGCCGGTATGAGGATGACGCCCTCGAGTCCAAGATCCTTCGGGCTTCTCTCACGGTAAGATCCCTCACATATCTTTCCTTGTTTCCTTAGTCGATTGACCTTAGCGTATTTTGCAAAGTAGTCTGATCCTTATCATTTTCTCACAGGCTTGCATCGGTCTCGGCGAGCAAATCCGGAGGGTGGAAACTTTGCGCCTTGAGAAGACGTAGTCTGACGAGACCTTAAAGAAGCTTGTCAAAGACAACAACATCCCTCCTAGCCTTACCCTTCCAGGCCCCGGAGCTGAGTGGTTAGCCTGGATATGTGTGAAGTAAAAGTGTAAAGTTTAATAAGGACCGGAGGGAGTAATAAGGAAAAGTAAGGTTGACGTTATTTTCTGATTGTATTGGTTGAAGTTACTGTTGTAGATGATCATTTTAACTATTTTTTCGGTTATGCATTTGAAAATTATTAAAACTTGTTTCTTATAAGATAGTAAATTTGTGTTAGTGTTATTGTTAGTTTTATTAAATTTAATTAATTTCAAGGAGTAAAATTTATAACAAATTTGAATGCATAGCACATTTTTTTATCACCATCCTTTATTAACGGACATTCATATCATATAAATTCATGTTTGTGTTTCTATTATAAGGCCTTTTTTATTTTTCATCTGAATGGCATCTAGAAGAAATTGATAAGTTTGTTCAGTGATCTACTCAATGAAGAACATAAAAGGTGTTAAAGATTTTGGATAAGCATTTCATAAGACGGGTGGAGATCATACATTATACAATTCGAAAGTAGGTTGAATTGTATAGACTTAGATAATTATTGAACTTCAGTTAAAACTCAAATCAATTATGATATTCAGATTTTTTTAATTAAGAAGTTATAAAGGGAATGACACGTTCTCCAATATCATTACTCGGAACAAAACTTGTAGTTCAATGATGACATTCAGAATGTACGTTCAACTTAATAGATAACCAACTTCAGTTGAAATTCCAACTAATGATGATGTTCCACATGAATGAACATACAACAAATGGAGAACCATAACCATCATGCATAATGATATCACATAACTTTAAATATTCATAGTTTTCTTTCATTCAAATGCAGGCTACATCAAAGTCCTCTTATGTGCAGATGTGCTTTTGAATGATATGTGTGCTTTTTTGTAAAGTAACATGGATATGTGTTAAGCTTATATTTTTTTAGTAAATTTGGGTAGAATTGTTTGCTTATTATTTCTATCTAACATGCATCAAAGCCATTGACGAATGTTATTCTGGTGAACCAACTACATTCTCTACTTGACACCTTTCCGATTGCAATCACAAGTCAAATTTGATGGGGAAAAATGACTTCTTGACCCCGAAAGCCATCGCGAACAGAATTAAAGCAAAAGGTCTGCAGAAGCTCCGATGGTATTGCATGTGCGAGAAACAATGCCGGGATGAGAACGGATTTAAATGCCACTGTATGAGCGAGTCCCACCAGCGCCAGATGGAGGTGTTTGGGCAGAACCCTAACCGGATCGTCAGTGGCTACTCAGAGGAGTTTGAGAGTGCGTTCCTTGAACACATGAAGAGAAGCCACCGGTTTAGCCGTGTGGCTGCCACGGTTGTGTACAATGAGTATATAGCTGATCGCCAACACATTCGTATGAATTCTACGGAGTGGGCAACTTTGACCGAGTTTGTCAAGTACTTAGGCAGGACTGGGAAGTGTAAAGTTGAGGAGACTCCAAAGGGGTGGTTTATAACTTATATAGATAGGGACTCCGAGACCCTTTTCAAGGAGAAGATGAAAAGCAAACGAGTGAAGGCTGACATAGCAGAGGAAGAGAAGCAAGAGAGAGCGATTAAAAGACAGAGAGAGAGGGCAGAAGAGTTGATGGGGGGTGGTATCTCAACAGATGAGATTAATGACTCTTCTGAACGGAAGTTACTGGAGAAGAAGTTGGATGGTTGTGATCAGAAGGTGAAGTTGTCTTTGGGCCCATCATTGAAACTCCATAATGAAAAAGACAGACCTGAAAGTTGTTCAATATCTGTTTTTGACGCGATGGATTATCATCAGAACACGACTGGAGATGGCAGTGCATCAAAATCGGGTGGAAAGAGTGGTTTTGGGGGGGTAAGTGGTGGGGGTGTGTTGGATGAGCTGATGAGAGAGGAAGAACAAGCAAAGGAACAGCAAAACAGGAAGGATTGTTGGTTATGTGAGGGAATAGTGGTGAAAGTTATGAGCAAAGGGTTGGCTAATAAGGATGCATATTATAAGAAAAAGGGCGTTGTTAGGAGGGTAATTGATAAGTATGTTGGGGAAATTGAAATTCTTGAAAATAAGCATATACTGAGAGTTGATCAGGAGGAGCTTGAAACTGTGATCCCCCAAATTGGTGGTCTTGTGAGGATAGTCAACGGGGCTTATCGTGGATCAAATGCTAGGTTGTTAGCCATAGATACTGATCATTTCTCTGCCAAGGTGAAAATTGAGAAGGGTATTTATGATGGCAAGGTTCTTAAGGCTATTGACTATGAAGATATTTGCAAATTGGGTGTGTGATGACACAAACTCGTTGAGAGCATGCCTACTTCCAGCAGTTGCGCATTTGCTTTCTTTCTGGTTGATTTATGGTTTTGTTGTATGCACTTTTCTAAACTGTATCATCAACCCTCTGTTCACCATTGTAAAAACATTTCAAAGTCAATTGCTCTTTTGAGTTACTATTGTGGCAATAATGTTTTGGTACCTTTTCAAACATTTTCATTTTTAGACCTCTTTTGCGATTGGGGCATTTTTGGTCATTTTGCCTATTGTGATGGTGATACTTTTAATTTCCCAATTATTGTGACACCAATACTTGTTTTTGAATCATTGTAATGAAATTCAAACAGAGTATTAAAATTGTAACTCTCACAACAGTCGGGGACTAAGAACGATGTATCATTTATTTGATCTCAATTGCAAGGAGTTCATTTTGCTTGGTTGCGCAGGATGGATCTTTTCATTCACTCTCAGCCTCTCTTGACATGTAAATTAGGTTGGGGATTTGATGTTCAATCTCAGTTGGTTGACATGGCATCAATTAATATTTTAGATGAATTTAGTTGGAATGTGTTATGTGTTCGCTTGCAGATTATACTCTTGCAGATTATACTTGTGGGATTCATCGCAGGAGTCATTTGATTAAAATAACGTGATGGATTATTTTACTACAGTTATGTTGTTCTGTGCTCTTATCAGTTGTTCTGAATGCTGTCTTCTACGAAGCCTGGTTTGGGTACTGTGTGGCTGAATTTGAAAGCTTGAGGTTTTGCTTTATGATGATTATGTTGAAAAATAAGTCCCTTTTTATTTATTGTGGTTGCTGCGTTCACTGGATTGCCAGGATCTTAGATTTGGTTTATCACTTGGAGTAGTTGATACTTTTCCCTGAATGTCATCACCTGGTTTGCCCAATGTGCCATGTGTGACCGTTTTTTGTTTTCCTCCTGGCTTGAAGATGTATCTGACTAATCTTCATTGTGCTGATATTTGTGGTTGCAACTTGCAATTCAGTTACCCTTACATATTACACCACTTTTAAGTTTGCTATCATCCCTCAAATCACAGTATCTATGTATTTCACGTTATGATTATAAATAATCTTCAGATCGTTTGATCACATGTGACGATAAGCACTGATAATATATGCATAGCAGGAGATCGTTTAGAAGTATTTACATCTTTTTTTTACACAAGTCTAGTACAAAATAACAAAACATAAATAATACTTTCTGATATCCTATTATGAGAATCATGTTAATGGTATTCATGTAGAATCATGTTATTCCTATTATGAGTCAATCTTGAATGGTAGCAGATCCCTGCTCAGGAAAATAAATATTAGCTCTAGTATTTGAGATTTTGAGTTAACTTTTGCCAATGTCCAATGATCTTAGAATCGTGTTGCTTATTTGATTTCTAAGGGCAGCAATTTCTTATTTTGAGGAGTAATTTTGTATATGATTAATTAAACTATTATTAAGGAGACTTACCATAAAAAATACAACACTAGCAACCATAAATTAGAAGATGCCACCTCAACAGGAGTATAATATTTCACAAAGCCTTTCCCGAGTATATAACACTGTACTGATCCGCCCTATATCTTCACACTTATGTATACAACAATATAACACAAGTAGCATTAACAAAGTAAATGAAAACATCTTGCCAGCCAGAGGTAGTGATAGAACTGTAACGATATGTTTGTATGTCAGTATGTCACTGTCAACGATAAGAGTACATTACATTCTCATTTCCAAGGAGCCATTTACTTGGTTGGATGTGGATCCTTCCCAAACCCCATCATAGCATGGGTTGCAAACATCGACGCTCTACGAGAAAGCTCAAACATCCTCCCAACAACCGGTACCTTAACTGTTTTCCGGCTTCGTGGCGGTTTCTTGTCCCACCTGTATATATTTAACTGCTAGTTAAACAGATATGAAAGCTTGTATAACACGGATATTAAGACTTTGAGTTCCACACTTGAAAAATATTCGAACACTATACACTGATTACAGGAGGACTTCAAGGTCTTATATCTGGTTGCCTATGTGAGTTTATAGGTATTCTGCATAGTGTGTCCATATAGGGACCTTTTTCCGTGTCTTATAAAACCAGTGCCTTTTTACTTAAAAACGGGACATTACTTTGAAGACAAGAATTATACTACTAATAATCTATTGGGCGAAAATGATTCACTGTTGGAAGGTGATAACTTGAAAGCCAAACCAGTACCGCTTACTAGAAAAAGAAAGTGCTTTAAATTGAAGTGTGTGGTGCAAGATCTAGTCTAAGTATGGATAGAACTCAGCAGAAGCTTAAGACATTGCAATGAAATCAGTTTTCCATGAGAGAATGAATCATACTTAAGTGTATGAGGGTATGACCATTTTGTGTTCTTCGGGTTGAATATGTCCTATGTGGACTTAGCGGGCATATATTTTGACTGAAGATAAGGAAAGGAACAGTCCAATTTTTTTAACCTCCATGTTAAGAAACTTTTCAATAAAATACATTATGACATTTTCAAGTTCAACTTTTTGCATTATGAAACAGTCTTCTAACAGATATCCTCCCTTATCTATTTCATTAAGATGTAACTTGCATTTTAATACAACAACTAAGATTAGTCTTAAAACCTAAAAGCTAGTAGAGGCGAGTACCAATCTTCATGGCGGACGACCTTTCCTCCTTCAGTATATAGCTTGATGAGAGATATCATATGAATATCCCTCCCCCAGAACTTGTAGTATTGCTTGTTATCAATTAGTATCTGAAACAATAAAGAACAGTCAGAGGGTTAAAGATAGCCATACATGTTGTTTTGTTCTATGGGGAATTGCAATTTGAACCTCTTTCTTTCCAGGTGATATATCGTTCTCTTTCCAGGTGTAATCCACAATCCTTGATTCACTGAAGACCTAAAAATGTTATTTTGGGAAACAATTACTCAAAAAGTGCCCATATATAAAAACAAAAACTACCAAATGCCTCATGGATTACTTGATCTACTACCCCCCCCCCTATGGAAAGAAATTAAGAAAATAGGAATCTTATCTTATTTCTAATACTATCAGTGCGGTGTGGTCTGAGGTCGAATTACTCGGGAATCTGATTCAACGAGTGCCACTTAACATTTCGTGGATCTTAACACTTTCACTAATTAAAAGCAGTTAAATTCAAAATGGCCTGGTTCTCCAATGGGGTGGCGGGGCTGTTATAGTCCCACACCAAACAAGTAATGAACAATCCTTTGGTGATGGGTAAATAAAATATCTGAGTTGAGTTAGTTAATAGAGAAACTGACGGGTTAATAAGGGCTTAAGTTGAATTAGGTCATAGATCATTCAATCTTTTAGTGCAGTTTGGTCTAAGTGTCCAATGGTCCAGTTAAGCGACCCAACCCAATCCTTTTAATATCTGGGGAAGCTTTGAACCTAGGCTGGAATCTTTAGAGAGAAAATTTGTATATCCTAATTTCTGAATTAGTACATAGGGTCTAAGCACCTAACACACATTAATATGGTGTCACCACACCGAAAGCAAAGATAGATTCATCAGTGAAGAAATGATGATACCATGCCTAGTGAATATAATGATGATTTTATCTGCTTTACCCTGCAATTCGGAAGTAAAATTTAAATTCATGCAATTGAACATAGATTATGTAACATTATAGGCAGCATAGGCTCCAAATCTACTAGAATAGTAGGAAATCGAAACTACTATGAATAAATGGCATAAGAAGTCAAACATGGTATGATTACATCCTCATACAATTTGTTCTACAACTTAACAGGCATGCTCAAATTCTTTTTTTCACACAAGAACTAAGACATGAAATCCCTGCGGGTTAGATAAGTGCCACCAATTTCTCATTTATGCAATAAAAAATAAGTTCCGCATACATACTTGACAAATATAATTTATAATTCATTTCATATCAGTGAGCTTTTCCATCATTTCCAATAGAGCCAAAGACTCACTATTTTTTGGCTTGGGAATATGATGGAATAAAGCAAAATGGCTCACTAAACTGTCTGTGTTTCTTTATGATGAAGAAGCAATAGATCAATGCAATTCTCAACGCGATTTTCATCATTTGTCATCTAGAAACAGTCTCCTTGTGCTTTAGTACAAGGGTAAGACTGCGTACATCCGACCCCCCTTATCAGTAAGCTTTTATTGCATCGACATTAAAATCATGCACATGCGCCTCAATACTCTGATTACTTCTCAATGAAACATATCATACTCGCTCTGTTAATCTCTTCAACTAGTTCAGTCATTTAAGGATAGGAGACAGATGAAGAAAGTCATTAAAAAACCTATAATCTTGCGAAAAGTATACCCTCCTCCGTCCCATAAAAAAGGAGCTGTTTCACAAACGTTTTTGTTAAAAAAAGGTTACAAAAGTTAAATTCCTTATTCAATAAAATTTCTGTGAAACCAAACAATGAGAAATTTTATTCAATTGCGCCAAACAATCGTGGAGGTTAGTTTTGGGGTACTGATGAGTCGACGACCGTTCATAACTCTTAGTCTTGTATCAAACTTGTACTGCCTTAATTGAGATAAATAAAAGGTGTACCTTGCTCAAACAAAACTCTTTTTATTGGGACAGAGAGAGCAGTATTATACTCAAACTACACTTCACATATACTTCTTTATGGATGTGAATTGTTACTAAATGCCCTTCTGATTTTATATTTTTTAAGTGACAGATTTGTGAATCAATTCTTTTTAAGGGCTTTGTGAGAGTGAGAAATAATATTAACCACAAAGTAGTTATATTAAAGCGAACGTGACAAAGTTTTTCAGAAAACCAAACAGCGGAAGTTGGCAAAATTTAGTGGGACATAGGGAGCAATTGATTTGAGAAGCAAATAGACATGGCAAAACTCGAATTTCCGCTTCGTCAAAACAGTACAATGAAACATCAATTCATACTCCCTCCGTTCCTATTATATCTTCCATTTCACTTTGGCACACAATTTAAGAAAAGTGGGTATTGTGTGGTGAAAAGTGGTGCAGAGGAGATCAGGAGAGAGAAATGTGTAAGAAATGTTGTGAACCAAAAATTATTTTCCAAAAAGGGAAAATGGAAGTTTAATTGGAACGGATGAAAAAGGAAAGTTGGAAGATATAATAGGAACGGAGGAAGTATGTCAAAACAAGTAGTGTTTACTGTAAGCATACCCATGTGCACACATAAGGGGATCTTCAAAGGTTGCATCCGGAACATAGATTTCAAAATCTTTAGGTGTGGCCTGTGATGCATATCTGCAATCATGTTGAACAGATAGTATACATAAGCAACACTAGGAGTATTAGCATACTGGTTGGTAAATCAATAATAAAAACTTTGTGGCAGCTGAAAAATCAATCTTAGAAACAAACAAAGGAGCTAATCCCACTTTTGTTAATGTTTGACTCCATACTATGCAACTTTGCTTTTGATGACATAAAAAATTTCACCAGTTTCATAACAAGGTGCTTACCTTAGCTACATAAAAAAAAATTAAAGAAATTTATATGAAAGCCAGCCTGAGAGACAGAAAGGATTTTATTCTTAGTTTACTACCTTCATCAATACATACACACTAAAAGTTGTAGTTCTAAGATATTCAGAGTATGTTTCAACTTATATATTTAGAGCTTATAGGTGTAAGAGTTTTCAAATAAAAGCTTATATAAATTTTAAATAAGGTGTAGAAGTTTTCCTACAAAGTTACTTTTGTGTGGTTTTGAGTTAAAAATACCCTACACTCTAAAATTGAGAATACTTATCATGTCACAACTCACAAATGACAAAAATTGAGATTTCAGGTTCAGGGGCGCATCTAAATTGAGCTCAGTCCCAGTGCAACCTAAATTTTTCTTATTTTGTAAGAATGAAAATAAGGTCTATTACTTTCAACATATGCTTAAGCGGAAAACAAGCCAAACACTCATTTTGTTAATAGTGATAAGTGGCTTTGAGTTAAAATAGCACTTTGAATTCTACTGAAAGACAACCAAATACAACCTCAATCTAGACAGTATTTTGTGTACTCCCTAGTCAAATACCCCATAAGTGGAACTGCCATTACTGAATACATTCACAAGACTTCAATCATACCCTTGATCCAAGGAAAAAAGTTCTACTTCTACTCATAGCACATTCATGTTTTGGAATACCCATATTCTAAGTTCTATCTAAACAATCCAAACATTCATTTATGGTACCCAACCAAGACCATCTCCGACATTAGACCCCAAGACTAAAACCTTTTCATAACAAAGGAAAATACATTAAAGGAAATTATAATTTACTTTCAACATTGACACATTCAAGAAATTTTCCATCATTTGCAATGGAGCCAAAGATTCATTATTTTTTGGCTTGAGATTATGATGGAATAAAGCAAAATGGCTCACTAAAATGGAAGCAGCAGTCAGTCCATGCAATTTTGGACGGGATTTTCATTATGGGTCATTCGGAAACAGTCTCTCTGTGTTTTAGTACAGGGGACTGCGTACATCTGACCCCCTTACCCCACCATAGGTGGGAGCCTTTGCTGCACTGGGGTAAATGAAAATGAAATGATGAAATGATTGACACATTCAAGAAAGTAGGGGTTGGTGGGCCAAGATGGCTTAACTAGAAAGATGATTGCCTGTTAGAGCAGACCAATCTTAAAATTTGTGGGTTCTCTGTCAAGTCTAGTCAGACCTATTCATATAATCTGCACTTAAATTATACGGAGTATTAAAACTAGGACTTACAGATTGAGAATATGAGGGAGTATATCATCCGAAGCAGGTCCTAGACCAGAGGAATTATGCTCGGACGTCTCCTTTGCTTCCGAAGAAAGACCTTCACCAAACACAGAATCAGCAAAAACCCACACTATGACACTAACCCTCAGGCCTCATCCATTTCTTAGCAAAAAAAGGTAAAAGGTCAAAACTATTTTAATGAGAAGAGAAAGAAAAACAGGGCAAGTCTTGAACCTTTATCCATGGTGAGAAGTATATATGACGAATTAAAGATATTGGTGTTGAGCAGCGGTGGAGTAGGAGCAGGGGTTGCCAGATAGCCCAAATACGAAGGAGGGCCAAGAAAGAAAGGAAGAGAACGTACGAAAGAGACTCCACGTGGAAGACGGAGGGCCATGTGTGTACTTTGTCATATTGCCATTTTCAGTCATCCGTAATACTACCTCCGTTCCTATTATAACTTCCAAATTGGTTTGGCACACAATTTAAGATAGTGGGTATTGTGTGGTGGAGAGTTGTGTAGAGGAGGGAGAAATGTCGTGAACCACAAATTCTTTACCAAAAAGGGAAAGTGGAAGTTTTAATTGGAACGGACGAAAAAGAAAAGTTGGAAGTTATAATAGGAACAAAAGGAGTAGTTATTGACGTCTTACATTCGAGATTTGTGTTTATTGGCCATTCGAATTCGTATAAGACAATTCGAATTCGGAAAAATCAAATACAAATAAAAATATTAAATTTGATTTGAGTTGTTATCAAATACAAATATGAATATCAGTGTATTCGATTCGAATATTAATCAAATATATTCGATTAATAATAGTGGTAATATTAATAATAACATTAATAACAGTATAATAATTATTAAAAGATAGCAATACCTTCAACGTGTGCCCCATATATATATATATGTATGCATACAGATTCCAAGCCCATTTGTAGTAAATCAGAATATAAATACGAATACAAATCAAATTTTTGGTTCAAATGTCTTTCAAATACAATACACATAATTATGTATTCAATCGGAAGAATAAAATTAGTCATTTGACTTTCATATATACAATTGTCAACTTATTTCACACATTATAAGTATAATTTCTAATATGTGTGTGTTAGTGATTTCCCGAGGGGGTTCTCCAGTCCCCCACTCCTTGAGACACATGTAATGGGGCGAAAAGGAGTAGAGTAACGCCTGTCTTCAGTAAAGAGCCGAGGGCTGAACGCCTTTTGCTTCATTTTGGGGGGATGCCTCGTTAAAAACCTCATTAGGAAAAACCCTGTGGGAAAAAATCCTAATGAGGGAAAAAGAGTACACCGGATGCCCCCAAAATGAAGTCAAAAGGTGAACCCTTCGGTCTTAGATGAAGGGTATCGCTGAGGCCGAGGGCCATTCGTGATCTGTGGAAAGTAGCCCCGAGAGGCCGAGGGCTGTTTATAATCTGAGGGCGGTGATTGCCAAGGGAAATCCCCCAGGTCTCCATGCATTGAGGGCTGAGAGCACACCGAAGGTTTCCCCAACCTCTATGTTGAGGGTTTAATCTGAAAGGAGGGTTTTTGCATGTGATAACTCGAGGGATTGCTCTGTTATTGTTTGAAGCGTGTCTGCTGAGGGCGTTCCAGTGTTTCAAAAATAGTCGTTGGGATATGACCGTTGGAGAAGGCGTCCATGTGGCGTGCTCTAGTTAGCTTACTTCGGGCGGGTGTCACCGGTTGGTTGGGGCGACGGTTTGTAATGATAGGCTTTTAACCCGAGACCCAAACTCAGGCCTTAACTGTGGTTGGGGGGGCTATAAATACCCCTGGCCTGAACCCATTTCCCTTGCGCGATTTTAAGCTGAAGCGAAGCTCTGCCAAAATTTCTAGAGAGAGAAAGCCCTTTGTTCGATCAAACCCTTACTTTCGAGGTTAGTTCTTCCTCCGTTCTTGGTACTTTTTGCATAATCTGCTCCACCTCCTTAGATTTAGTGTTAGTGACCTTAGAACCCTTCTTCCTTTCTCCAACTCCCTTCTTCAATAGTTCCGAAGGATGTCGTCTGCTAGTGATTCCCAAGATATTTCCGGGGATCCTTCGGTCCAATCCGAGACCTGGTCGGATGAGAGGTCAGCGAGTGTAGAGGCCTCGTCCAACAACGATTCTGTTGTAGCACAAGAGGTGCAGAAGGACCTTATGGCCGAAGCCGAGGCCGAGGAGTTTGAGCAAGTTGTGGAGGATGAGGTGCTCGCCCTCGCGCGTACAAAGTGCAGAGGAGGAGGAGGAGAGGCAGAAGGTCACCATCGCTGTCCTTCCCCCACGCAATGTCGGTGAGGCGAGTAGCTCCCGGCCTCTCGACCCGGAACCTCTTAGGGTGGCCTCGGGTAGGAAGAAGAAGAAGGTAAGGGCTGCACCGAAGAAGAAGAAGCATGCTGCTATCTCCGATTTTGATGCACTGCCATCTCCAGTCGTGTTCTGATGATAATCCATCGCGTCAAAAACAGATATTGAACAACTTTCAGGTCTGTCTTTTTCATTATGGAGTTTCAATGATGGGCCCAAAGACAACTTCACCTTCTGATCACAACCATCTAACTTCTTCTCCAGTAACTTCCGTTCAGAAGAGTCATTAATCTCATCTATTGAGATACCACCCCCCATCAACTCTTCTGCCCTCTCTCTCTGTCTTTTAATCGCTCTCTCTTGCTTCTCTTCCTCTGCTATGTCAGCCTTCACTCGTTTGCTTTTCATCTTCTCCTTGAAAAGGGTCTCGGAGTCCCTATCTATATAAGTTATAAACCACCCCTTTGGAGTCTCCTCAACTTTACACTTCCCAGTCCTGCCTAAGTACTTGACAAACTCGGTCAAAGTTGCCCACTCCGTAGAATTCATATGAATGTGTTGGCGATCAGCTATATACTCATTGTACACAACCGTGGCAGCCACACGGCTAAACCGGTGGCTTCTCTTCATGTGTTCAAGGAACGCACTCTCAAACTCCTCTGAGTAGCCACTGACGATCCGGTTAGGGTTCTGCCCAAACACCTCCATCTGGCGCTGGTGGGACTCGCTCATACAGTGGCATTTAAATCCGTTCTCATCCCGGCATTGTTTCTCGCACATCTGGCAATACCATCGGAGCTTCTGCAGACCTTTTGCTTTAATTCTGTTCGCGATGGCTTTCGGGGTCAAGAAGTCATTTTTCCCCATCAAATTTGACTTGTGATTGCAATCGGAAAGGTGTCAAGTAGAGAATGTAGTTGGTTCACCAGAATAACATTCGTCAATGGCTTTGATGCATGTTAGATAGAAATAATAAGCAAACAATTCTACCCAAATTTACTTAAAAAAATATAAGCTTAACACATATCCATGTTACTTTACAAAAAAGCACACATATCATTCAAAAGCACATCTGCACATAAGAGGACTTTGATGTAGCCTGCATTTGAATGAAAGAAAACTATGAATATTTAAAGTTATGTGATATCATTATGCATGATGGTTATGGTTCTCCATTTGTTGTATGTTCATTCATGTGGAACATCATCATTAGTTGGAATTTCATATTACACCACTTTTAAGTTTGCTATCATCCCTCAAATCACAGTATCTATGTATTTCACGTTATGATTATAAATAATCTTCAGATCGTTTGATCACATGTGACGATAAGCACTGATAATATATGCATAACAGGAGATCGTTTAGAAGTATTTACATCTTTTTTTTACTAAAGTCTAGTACAAAATAACAAAACATAAATTATACTTTCTGATATCCTATTATGAGAATCATGTTAATGGTATTCACGTAGAATCATGTTATTCCTATTATGAGTCAATCTTGAATGGTAGCAGATCCATGCTCAGGAAAAGCTCTAGTATTTGAGATTTTGAGTTAACTTTTGCCAATGTCCAATGATCTTAGAATCGTGTTGCTTATTTGATTTCTAAGGGCGGCAATTTCTTATTTTGAGGAGTAATTTTGTATATGATTAATTAAACTATTATTAAGGAGACTTGCCATAAAAAATACAACACTAGCAACCATGAATTAGAAGATGCCACCTCAACAGGAGTATAATATTTCACAAAGCCTTTACCGAGTATATAACACTGTAGTGATCCACCCTATATCTTCACACTTATGTATACAACAATATAACACAAGTAGCATTAACAAAGTAAATGAAAACATCTTGCCAGCCAGAGGTAGTGATAGAACTGTAACGATATGTTTGTATGTCAGTATGTCACTGTCAACGATAAGAGTACATTACATTCTCATTTCCAAGGAGCCATTTACTTGGTTGGATGTGGATCCTTCCCAAACCCCATCATAGCATGGGTTGCAAACATCGACGCTCTACGAGAAAGCTCAAACATCCTCCCAACAACCGGTACCTTAACTGTTTTCCGGCTTCGTGGCGGTTTCTTGTCCCACCTGTATATATTTAACTGCTAGTTAAACAGATACGAAAGCTTGTATAACACGGATATTAAGACTTTGAGTTCCACACTTGAAAAATATTCGAACACTATACACTGATTACAGGAGGACTTCAAGGTCTTATATCTGGTTGCCTATGTGAGTTTATAGGTATTCTGCATAGTGTGTCCATATAGGGACCTTTTTCCGTGTCTCATAAAACCAGTGCCTTTTTACTTAAAAACGGGACATTACTTTGAAGACAAGAATTATACTACTAATAATCTATTGGGCGAAAATGATTCACTGTTGGAAGGTGATAACTTGAAAGCCAAACCAGTACCGCTTACTAGAAAAAGAAAGTGCTTTAAATTGAAGTGTGTGGTGCAAGATCTAGTCTAAGTATGGATAGAACTCAGCAGAAGCTTAAGACATTGCAATGAAATCAGTTTTCCATGAGAGAATGAATCATACTTAAGTGTATGACGGTATGACCATTTTGTGTTCTTCGGGTTGAATATGTCCTATGTGGACTTAGCGGGCATATATTTTGACTGAAGATAAAGAAAGGAACAGTCCAATTTTTTTAACCTCCATGTTAAGAAACTTTTCAATAAAATACATTATGACATTTTCAAGTTCAACTTTTTGCATTATGAAACAGTCTTCTAACAGATATCCTCCCTTATCTATTTCATTAAGATGTAACTTGCATTTTAATACAACAACTAAGATTAGTCTTAAAACCTAAAAGCTAGTAGAGGCGAGTACCAATCTTCATGGCGGATGACCTTTCCTCCTTCAGTATATAGCTTGATGAGAGATATCATATGAATATCCCTCCCCCAGAACTTGTAGTATTGCTTGTTATCAATTAGTATCTGAAACAATAAAGAACAGTCAGAGGGTTAAAGATAGCCATACATGTTGTTTTGTTCTATGGGGAATTGCAATTTGAACCTCTTTCTTTCCAGGTGATATATCGTTCTCTTTCCAGGTGTAATCCACAATCCTTGATTCACTGAAGACCTAGAAATGTTATTTTGGGAAACAATTACTCAAAAAGTGCCCATATATAAAAACAAAAACTACCAAATGCCTCATGGATTACTTGATCTACTACCCCCCCCCCCTATGGAAAGAAATTAAGAAAATAGGAATCTTATCTTATTTCTAATACTATCAGTGCGGTGTGGTCTGAGGTCGAATTACTCGGGAATCTGATTCAACGAGTGCCACTTAACATTTCGTGGATCTTAACACTTTCACTAATTAAAAGCAGTTAAACTCAAAATGGCCTGGTTCTCCAATGGGGTGGCAGGGCTGTTATAGTCCCACACCAAACAAGTAATGAACAATCCTTTGGTGATGGGTAAATAAAATATCTGAGTTGAGTTAGTTAATAAAGAAACTGACGGGTTAATAAGGGCTTAAGTTGAATTAGGTCATAGATCATTCAATCTTTTAGTGCAGTTTGGTCTAAGTGTCCAATGGTCCAGTTAAGCGACCCAACCCAATCCTTTTAATATCTGGGGAAGCTTTGAACCTAGGCTGGAATCTTTAGAGAGAAAATTTGTATATCCTAATTTCTGAATTAGTACATAGGGTCTAAGCACCTAACACACATTAATATGGTGTCACCACACCGAAAGCAAAGATAGATTCATCAGTGAAGAAATGATGATACCTTGCCTAGTGAATAGAATGATGATTTTATCTGCTTTACCCTGCAAATCGGAAGTAAAATTTAAATTCATGCAATTGAACATAGATTATGTAACATTATAGGCAGCATAGGCTCCAAATCTACTAGAATAGTAGGAAATCGAAACTACTATGAATAAATGGCATAAGAAGTCAAACATGGTATGATTACATCCTCATACAATTTGTTCTACAACTTAACAGGCATGCTCAAATTCTTTTTTTCACACAAGAACTAAGACATGAAATCCCTGCGGGTTAGATAAGTGCCACCAATTTCTCATTTATGCAATAAACAATAAGTTCCGCATACATACTTGACAAATATAATTTATAATTCATTCCATATCAGTGAGCTTTTCCATCATTTCCAATAGAGCCAAAGACTCACTATTTTTTGGCTTGGGAATATGATGGAATAAAGCAAAATGGCTCACTAAACTGTCTGTGTTTCTTTATTATGAAGAAGCAATAGATCAATGCAATTCTCAACGCGATTTTCATCATTTGTCATCTAGAAACAGTCTCCTTGTGCTTTAGTACAAGGGTAAGACTGCGTACATCCGACCCCCCTTATCAGTAAGCTTTTATTGCATCGACATTAAAATCATGCACATGCGCCTCAATACTCTGATTACTTCTCAATAAAACATATCATACTCACTCTGTTAATCTCTTCAACTAGTTCAGTCATTTAAGGATAGGAGACAGATTAAGAAACTCATTAAAAAACCTATAATCTTGCGAAAAGTATACCCTCCTCCGTCCCATAAAAAAGGAGCTGTTTCACAAACGTTTTTGTTAAAAAAAGGTTACAAAAGTTAAATTCTTTATTCAATAAAATTTCTGTGAAACCAAACAATGAGAAATTTTACTCAATTGCGCCAAACAATCGTGGAGGTTAGTTTTGGGGTACTGATGAGTCGACGACCGTTCATAACTTGTAGTCTTGTATCAAACTTGTACTGCCTTAATTGAGATAAATAAAAGGTGTACCTTGCTCAAACAAAACTCTTTTTATTGGGACAGAGAGAGCAGTATTATACTCAAACTACACTTCACATATACTTCTTTATAGATGTGAATTGTTACTAAATGCCCTTCTGATTTTATATTTTTTAAGTGACAGATTTGTGAAACAATTCTTTTTAAGGGCTTTGTGAGAGTGAGAAATAATATTAACCACAAAGTAGTTATATTAAAGCGAACGTGACAAAGTTTTTCAGAAAACCAAACAGCGGAAGTTGGCAAAATTTAGTGGGAGTGTGGGACATAGGGAGCAATTGATTTGAGAAGCAAATAGACATGGCAAAACTCGAATTTCCGCTTCGTCAAAACAGTACAATGAAACATCAATTCATACTCCCTCCGTTCCTATTATATCTTCCATTTCACTTTGGCACACAATTTAAGAAAATTGGGTATTGTGTGGTGAAAAGTGGTGCAGAGGAGATTAGGAGAGAGAAATGTGTAAGAAATGTTGTGAACCACAAATTATTTTCCAAAAAGGGAAAATGGAAGTTTAATTGGAACGGATGAAAAAGGAAAGTTGGAAAATATAATAGGAACGGAGGAAGTATGTCAAAACAAGTAGTGTTTACTGTAAGCATACCCATGTGCACACATAAGGGGATCTTCAAAGGTTGCATCCGGAACATAGATTTCAAAATCTTTAGGTGTGGCCTGTGATGCATATCTGCAATCATGTTGAACAGATAGTATACATAAGCAACACTAGGAGTATTAGCATACTGGTTGGTAAATCAATAATAAAAACTTTGTGGCAGCTGAAAAATCAATCTTAGAAACAAACAAAGGAGCTAATCCCACTTTTGTTAATGTTTGACTCCATACTATGCAACTTTGCTTTTGATGACATTATTAGGTGCACTCTGCACATACGTTTAAAATATTTCACCAGTTTCATAACAAGGTGCTTACCTTACATATTACACCACTTTTAAGTTTGCTATCATCCCTCAAATCACAGTATCTATGTATTTCACGTTATGATTATAAATAATCTTCAGATCGTTTGATCACATGTGACGATAAGCACTGATAATATATGCATAACAGGAGATCGTTTAGAAGTATTTACATCTTTTTTTTACTAAAGTCTAGTACAAAATAACAAAACATAAATTATACTTTCTGATATCCTATTATGAGAATCATGTTAATGGTATTCACGTAGAATCATGTTATTCCTATTATGAGTCAATCTTGAATGGTAGCAGATCCATTACTGTCTCCTTCCGAGGCAAGTAATACTGACTACAGTGGCCTCAGCCCCATGCCACTGAACTTTCATTGATCACGTCGTGTCTAGTTACTCACTCCCAAATGTTTTGAAATTTTCTAGGACACAGACACATTTTAGAGTCAGTTGCAAGTCTTCAAGACTTGCGAGAACTTCCATAGGGCTCATCTAATACAGATGTAGACCAATAATTGGAAGGAAGTCCTGCTGTTGCAACATAAGAATCACCAACATTTTCAGGCCATTGCGTTAGAGTTTATCTCTATAGTGATGATAACGGGCGTCTTCACGACCCCGAGGGGCTACGTTATCTTTTTTAGATTCTGCTTGTTTTTCATGTTTTTATTTCCGCAGAATAAAAGAATAAAAGCATGACGTCCCGATTCATCGGATCGTCATGAGGGGGAGAGTGGTCCACATGCTGTTAACACTGAACAAATCATTCTGGGACACTTCACTCCTCCATCACAAAATTCAACACCCTCTCTACTATCTCCGCAACTCAAATCAAATGGTCAGCTACACTCACAAATCAACGATCATTATGTTCCGCTGTGCCACTGACAAGTTCTCCTCAAATGCATTCATTCCAAATAGTCAAAAAGACTACATTGTGGAGGAGACAGAGGTCAAATACTCCTGTCCTGAAGATGAATTCCATGGGCGTCTCCTATTCTCCAAAGAACATTCATTCTAGAGGCGTCACCGGACTTCATCTAAGCTGATCAAGAGCAACTTCTGGAAGGCAAGGACTACATGCAAGATACTGAAGGTCCCTCAAACCCCGGCATCAAAGATCAAATTGTCAAGAATACATCAAAGGGGAGATTGCAAGGATTTCTTCAGAAGCCTTCCTCAGAAGTCAAGTTCAAAGACAAAGGAAGCTCAATAACAACAAAGACAAAGATATCTGCGCTGCAATGCTGATTCAACACGATTGATCACCAAGGGGGAGATTGTTGGGAATATTTTATGGTGTTCAATCTAGTTAGTTATCCTTGTATTTGTGTAGTTATTAATTAATCGTGTAATACGGGCCACAAATGTGTATCAGCCCGTGGGCTTCCTTGTAACCCGTAAGTTAGCCAACTTCTCCTATAAAAGGAGGCTAACTTACGGGAACCCTAACGATCGATAGAGGCTTAGAGTTTAGAGGCGTAAACATAGAGAGTAGGGTTGCCGCTGCTCTCCTTCTCCAGGGAGAGCAGCGGACAGTTTACACGGTATACCAGATTCGTATAATATCTACATATCTTTCTATCTGCTTCTTTTATAACTGCTATATTTGTTGTTTGTTAAGTATTGTGGGCTTATCATAGACTATGAGAGAAGGCGAAAACAGATTCGGCAAATTGGAGAGAATAGAGGACTTCATTATATACAACTTGCATGAAGGAAGCATTGCCAAATTCGGAAGTTAAGTAGGCACGATCGTGCCCTCAAAGTCAGGCACGATCGTGCGTGAAGAGAAAGCATCGCGGAGCTAATGGCAGGCAGGCACGATCGTGCCTGGAGGGAGGCACGATCGTGCCTGCCCAAAATGTGCGTTTTTGCTCCGGAGGCACGATTGGAGGCACGATCGTGCCTGCCTCCAGAAATCCCAATTCAGCTCAAATTTTACCCGGATTTTCTATTTAAACAACCTGTAAACTCCGTTTTCAAGGGGGGAGCTTAGAGAGAGTGCCTAGTACGAATTTTAGAGGGCTTTTCAGCCTTATTCATCAATCTTTTGGGATTCTTTGTAAGTTCCACCTTTTTAATTAATGACAATTAATTCTTTTCTTCCCAATTCTATTGATTCTTCAATTATGAATTGTGAGTGGCACCAGCAATCGCACATGCACCGCATTAAATGCGGTGGTTGTCTGTCTCTAAAAGGAATCTTCGTCGAGTTTGCTATGTACCGAGGGCATTTGTACAGCCGAAGGCTACATACTGTCGAGGGCACAAAATAGCCGAAGGCTAATATTCTAGCCAGAAATTCCCAGAAGCTTTGTAGGTCCAATATCAAGTTGCCTTATAGAATTTGGAGCCTTCGGTCACAGAGCCGAAGGCATCGAAATGTGCACCGTGGGCTTCTTCATGCCTGGGCCGCTACATTTGGGCTTTGTGTGCTCATTGAGCTTGATGGACCCGTGTAGGAGAAGTAGGAGTCTGTGGGCCGTGGGTCTCTGAGCCATATACTCCATCAACCCTATTCTAGACTAGAAGCGCAAGACTACTATACCCGTGTAGAAAAACTTTGGAACTACTACTTGGTGAAAATGGAAAAAAACTATTTATACATTTTTTTTTGTAGAAACTGGTTCAAAGAGTGTTCATGTATGCAGACAACTAGACATGTGTACACGTAATGTATACAAATAATGTGTATAAGTATATTTTGATTTATGTAGTTTCATTATTAATTGTCGGTGGTTTTTTATGGAATTTGAGCTTGTATTTGCTATGTAGTTTCATTATTAATTTGGGGATCATTATTAAATTAGGATGGATTATAATTTTTCATTTATGTCAATCATAAATGGGAAACACACAATCTTGCTCCAACATGGGCTCTTGGTACAACATCCTCCGATGTCGGTCTAAGACTTGGAACCGTAAAATTGAAAAAATCGAAACAAATCAAATTATCTTGTTCGATTCGGTTCCTATAATTTTGGAATTCTGATTTTTTCAATTCAGTTTATATAGAATTTGATTGGTTCGGTTTCAGTTCCTAATCTTCCTATGTAGGAACCAAGTTTCGTATACACTTGCGTGAGTAATGTTCACTTGATGTGATTTTGGGTGAAAGTTTTTGATAAAATTTTGTGAGTTTATTTTTCATGAAGTATATATTGTGTCAACTTAATTTTAGCTTAAAATTTAATCTAGAAGTCAATTACATAAATTATTGAAAAACATTACACTAAAATATAAATAAAAGTGCAATGTAAATTTCAATAATTTATTGGACTCAATTCCCGACTTAATTTTATGCTAACATTTGGTGGATATAGTGTAAACTTCTTGCAGAACATGCTCACAAAATCTCATCAAAAATTTCTACCTGAAAGCATCTCAAATAGAGGTGGCCATATGACATTTCGATCAGGAAATTCTTGACAAGAATATTTATTTTGCATAATATACCTTTTATATTGTGGACCAGGCTAATCTGAGTAGTTGTTATTTTACTACTTTTGTCCACTTTTATATTTATTGTTTGTTTCTAATTGTATTTGTTATTTGAGTCCTCCTCAAAAATAAATTAATGTTGTAGCACCAATGATTGTGTTGTTATTCATTTATAGTAAATCACTAATATTATCGATCAGTTTGTTACTATGCACTTTTTGCTTATAGTGCAATACTAATATAAGAGTATTATTATGGGATTGAACTACCTTTTTGAACTACCTTTTTACTTATTGCTACTGGATGTACCTAAACTATTAAACCTTTTTTATATGTAGTTTATGCATATTTTAAACCTTCATAGTTTTGTTATGTATACATTTAATGTTTGCTCAATTGCACTTGAACATTTTTGTGGTATTTGAACATTGGAATATCATGTATGTATAATGCAATTGTCGTAACTTTAATAAAATATGTTTATTTTAGAAATTTGAATATTTTTATGTAACTGAACGTAAAATATGTTCACTTTAGAAAGAAAAAAAAAATTATAAGAAAATGAAAAAAGATAAGAACAATTATAACGAGAACCGAACTGATCACAAACCTACTCCAATGTAGGAGAACCTTGTGCTAATTACTATAACTATGTCTTATACAATAAAAATATTACACAAACTTAAATAGGAATTATATTAGAATTATAAATAAATATGGCTTTTTACTGTTTGTAAATAAACAATACTTGAAAAGAGTCTTTAAACAAATACTCAGTTCTAATTACACCAAGAGTATTTTGTATATTATAGACTATATATTTAAAATTTTGAGCCTTAAGAATCAAGAAGCCCTGTTATGTTGCATTCGTTGCACGTCCTAATAGATGACCCTACATTGGTGTAGGGAGCGGTTCCGGTAAAAACGGACTTCCAGGAGAGAAATAAGAACGAATCTGGACCGTTGGATTGTATCATGTGGAACGGAAATGTGCATTTAATGAAACTGAAATGTGTATTAGATGATACTGAAATGTGCAGAATAAAAATTTAAACTCAATTGTGCATTAGGTGAAACTGAAATGTGTAGAATAAAATGTACAAAAATAACATCACATCGTACCTTTTTTCAGTTTCACCTAGTGCACATTTCAATTTCACCTAATGCACAATTCAACGGTCACATAATGACATTGTAACGTATGCTTTGTGTTGCACATTTCAATTTCACCTAATGCACATTACAGTTTCATCTAATGCACATTGAATTTCACATCAAGCAAATTTAACGGTCCAAATTCATTCTCATTTTTC